TCCTTTCTTTGGCCACAGTTACTCTATTTTTTATGCTAGCGAGCTCAATAGTTCACTCAGTTGATCAAAATAGTTTGAAAATAATGCTTAATACTCTCAAAAGTTGTTTTGAACCAGTACTTGGTAGGAAGGATGAGAGAAACTTGCTGGCTATGTTGTATGATTACAGGAATGTAAGGCCCACTCAATAAATAGTTGATTTTATGAAGTACTACCCAAATTCTGGCTCCCATGAGAAACTACTTTTATGGCTGGCCAACTCAAGTTGAAGCCAACAACAGATCAAGCTCTCCCAGTTAAGTACTGGAACTCTTTATTCACACATCCTAATTACACACTGTCCCACTTCTTTTATGAAAACAACCAAAGCTAGACCCCCAATAGTCATATGACAGTAAAGAAGAATCTCCCTGCTCTGGGTATTAGAGGTTACATAACAGACATTAGAGAGGAATGTATGATCTTGAATCTTTTGAACACCTCTTAACTGATTCAATACAGATCTCTAGTGAAGTTGATTAGATATAGTACAGTAGTTGTGCTTAAGAAAGTTACTGTAACCCTGATTCAGTGAATACCAAACCATTGTTCCTACAGAGAACACAAGGTTAGGTTTTTGTGAACCTGTGGACTCATTTTTTCAGCATTTTATTAATATATAACCTCATTTAATGTTTCTATTTGAAGATAGTTTTTACTTTACATATATTGTTGATTAATCAGTATTGAACTCATGACCAACAGCACATAACTCAAGTCTGAACAAAGTTTATCTAACATAAATATTTTTACATAAAGAAAAATTTGTTTCCATGCAATGCCTAGCAAAATCCCAATGACATTCTTCATAGAAATGCAACAAAAATTCATGAAATTTATTTTGAAGTACAAAATATCCAAAGGAGCAAAATAACTCCTGAGGGGGGGGGAATGAACAAAAATGGAGAAATCAAGCTTTCTGACTTCAAACTATGTTACAAAGTGACCATAATTAAAACAGCTTGGTATTAGAACAAAAACAGACACCCAAATCAATGGAATAGAATTGAGAGCTCAGAAACACAACCACACACATATGGACTACTAATTTATGACAAAGGAGCCAACAGCTTGCAAAGGAGCAAAGAAAGTTTTTATAAATGGTATTGGGAAAGCAGGACAACCACTTGCAAAAGAATGAAACCAGACCACTATCTAATACTATAAACAAATACACTTACCTGTCAGGGGAGATAGCATGATCACTAATACTATAAACAAAAATAAACTTAATGTAGGTTAAAGCCTTAGATGTAAGACCTAAAACCATAAAATACATAGAGGAAAACTTAAGTGATACTCTCCTTGACATCAGTCATAGAGATGTTGTTGGGGACTTGACCCCAATGCAAGGAAAATAAAAACAAAAATAAGCAAAAGGGACTATAGCCAAAGAAAAAGCTTCTTTACAGAGGAAGAAAATTTGCTTCGAATTTAAAAGATCTCCTATGAATGGGAACCATATGTACATCATACATCCAATAACATCCAATAGTTAACATCTAAACTATACAGAGAAATCATAAAAGTTAACAAGAACAACAAAAAACCCTGATCAAAAAGTAGGTAGAAGATCTCAATAGTCACATGAACAACAGGCACATGAAAAGGTGTACAGCATCTCTTATTATTAGATAAATGCAAACAAAACAATGAGATAGCAACTCACACCTGTGAGAATAGTATGACACAAAGACAACAAACAAGTGTTGGTGAGGAAGTGGAGAGAAGGAAACACTTACACACTCTTTGTGTGAATATAAATTGATACACCTGTTATGGAAAAAGAAGATTCCTCAAAAAGCTCAAATTAGAAATGCCACACATTACATTTTTGACTATCAAAAAAATACATACATGTTAATTCAAAGAGAGATATGCACCCCCCAGAATTTGGGTAGCCAATGTAGCATTTCATTTATTGCAGCATTACTTACAATAGCCAAGAGCTAGAAATAACTGAGTGCCCACCAACAGATATATGGATAAAGAAGATGTATGTATATAAACATGACAGAAGAATTACTGCCATTTGCAACAACACAGATGAACCTAGCAATAGATGGTATCATGCTTAGTGAAATAAGTCAGAGAATGATAAATACCATATGACTTCACTCATATGGTATATGGAGAAAACAACAAATAGATGAACTAAATAAAGCAAAAATAAACTTTGGGTTATAAGACCAATAGGGGATATGTAAATCAAAAGGACAATGGTATGGTGAAGGACAGAAATGGACTTTTAGTGTTGAACTTAATGTTGTACATCCAGATGTTGATAATGAAGCACCCCTGAAACATACATATTATAATGCTATGTTATTTAACTTAATAACATATTGCACTTTTAAAAACCATGATAAAATTGACCATTTAATCATTATTTACATATTCGGTCCAGTGGCATTAAGTACACTTTCAACATTGTGCAACCATCATGCCCATTGGTCTCCAGAACTCTTTCTGTTCCCAAGTTGAAACTATTCAACTGCAGCTCCCACCCTCTCTCCCTTCCTCTCCCTTTCAGTCTGTCACAGTTAATTGCCTTTGTACATCTCATCGAAGCCTTTTTGAGCTTAGGAGCAAAGCATTTCAGCACTATGTTTGGGATCCTTTTAAATAACAGAACCCTTCCCCACCCTCAAACACACACAAAGTGAAAAAGATGGTACTGAACAGACCATAAAAAGGACACTACTTACAGTACAAGAGCTGAAACAAAGCAGAGAATTATCTCATTTGGCATCAGGTTGGGACCTGTGTATTGGTAGACTCAAATTTTTGCCTCTCGAGATATGTTGATAAATGACTACAAAAGTGCATGGCTATTGTTTTGGAGGTTACAAAAAAAAAATAGCAACTAGGCAAGCTTGAAAATATGAGAGCCATGACTAATAAACACTGACTAGACATGGGAATAACAAACTTTGTTTACTTTACTCCATGTAGGAAGAATAAAGAGCTGAGACATTTTGTAAAATTTTCCTTGCTTCAGACACCTAGAGGGCAGCCTCTGTGAACTGATCACTGGCAATTACAACCTGGAGCTGTTCTAGTTCATGTGGAGGATAAATTTAAGCATCACATACTGCTGGGAACAAAGACCAAATAATCAAGAACTAGTTATCAATTACTTACTATATGAGGAAACTAAAGGTTAGAAAAGTTAAATATCTCAGCCATTATGACAGAGTTAGGAGTGGCCAAGTTGAGTTTTGAGCTCAAATCTACCTGATGCCAGAACTGAAGTTCTCGAATGTTATAAAATTTTAATCAATTAAATAAAAAAAAGGTCTGACTTACTCGAAAGTACATAGGAGCACATTACAATTACTGTAACAATATAAGGATTTATACTTGGAAAATAAATTTTCAAAACTTTAATAAGCCTGATCTAATATTGTTCCACAACAAAGTATATAAAATCCTTCACTGCATCTGGTTTGTGTCTGGTTTTCCTTAATCTTTAATGATGGCCAAATCCAATGCATTATGTAAGGCCATTTTTTCTCAAGAGATGTAGATACCTCTTAAGAATTTGATGAAAATGCATTAACTTTTCAGGCTACTGAGTTGTAATTTAGTGTACTGAAGGAGTCAGTGAGTGTGCAATGTGCAAAAGTGGTACTAGTGACCTAAAAAATAAATACTTGATAGAAGTTATTGCATTCTCTTTGGGGAAAAAAAAAAAAACAACAAAAACAGTAATAGATTAACTCTCTTAGGAGTCTTTAGCCAACAAGTAGGAGCAGAAATCTCCTGTGGCCTAAAAAAAGTTTCTGTTTCTTATTGGCTATGTTTATTTAGTTTTTTAAATAATTCATTGATTAGATCTTATGGCTCCCAAAGCTAAGGTTGAGAGTTTGATCCCTACAGAGGCCACTTAGATTTGAAGAACAAAAAGCTCTATTCTCTGCTCCCAGATCTCACCCAAATCCCTGCCAGGTGTCTGCCCTCTGGCCAAAATGAAAAACTGGCAAAGGGGTGCAAACCTATAACAGTATTGGGGGGAAAATGGGCACCCTTTTATATGTTCACAATAGTGCTATGTAATTTGTAGTGAAAGATGCCACACTTTTTATTTTTACCACTGGAAAGCCAAGGCAAACTGTAGTAAGTGTTGTATTACCAGTTATAAAGTCCACTATCTTCCTATTCTAAATGCAGAGATTTATTTTATAAGCTGGCATTATTCTTTTAGTAATAAACACTAAAATATATCTTCTGAGTGATATCTGCAACTTTAGAAATTAGGAAATAACAATAGTAATCAAATATTTAGCACAAATTTCATATTAATAAAAGTCATTAAGTTATTTAAAGCTAGTGCCACATATAATAAGAATGATTTTCAGAATGCATTAAAAATTTATTCAGGAACACAAGTTACTCAAATTATAGCTGAAAATGTCTTACAAGTATCATAATTTTAACCTTTTTTAAAATTCAGCTCTTCCTAATACAGTGCTTTATATCCTAGTTGCAGGACACTAAAAATAACTAAGTATAACAAATTTTTTACTTCAAATGCTTGCCTAAATATACCAAATCATTTTAACTTTTGAGGAAGCAACATTAACACTAACTATGCATTGTAAAGGAAGATTAACTTATTTAAATTATAACAAGAGTTTCACATACAACGATTAACAAGATAAATTTATTTTATACTCATGGTAACATAAACTTTAAAATTTCAAATGTCACATATATCTTTCATTATTTGTAGATTTATTTCTTTTATAAAGTAGTCAAATGAATCAGCTCACCCTTGACTGTAACAAAATACTGTTTGGTGACTTGTGACAGACAGGGTTTTAACCTCTGACAGCGAGATTCATTGTGGAGCAAGAGCCAATCATAGATCCTGACGACACTTGTCTCATCAAACTTGGAATATAAAAAGCCACTTGGAATACAGTATAAAAGATTCACTGGTGTGGCAAGTTGTCCTCAGACTGTGCAGGCATTAAAATTTTGCCTGTAAAACTCAAAAACAAAAGAAAACTGAAAGGAAGAAATAAGAACAAGACAAAGATTGTATAAATTTTAAAATCATGCAAAAACTGCAAATCTATGTCTATATTTACCTGTTTATGCTGATTGTTGCTGGTCCAGTGAATCTAAATGAGAACAGCGAGCAAAAAGAAAATGTGGAAAAAGAGGGGCTGTGTAATGCATGCACTTGGAGACAAAACACTAAATCTTCAAGAATAGAAGCCATAAAAATTCAAATCCTCAGTAAACTTCGCCTGGAAACAGCTCCTAACATCAGCAAAGATGCTATAAGACAACTTTTGCCCAAAGCTCCTCCACTCCGGGAACTGATTGATCAGTACGATGTCCAGAGAGATGACAGCAGCGATGGCTCCTTGGAAGATGATGATTACCACGCCACAACAGAAACGATCATTACCATGCCCACAGAGTGTAAGTAGCCTGATTAGTGGATATCAACAATTCTGCTGACTGTTGTTCTAGTGTTTATGAGAAACAGATCTATTTTCAGGCTCTTTTAACAAGCTGTTGGCTTGTATGTAAATAGGAGGAAAAAAAAAGAGTTTCTATTTTTTTAGGGTATCATGAGAAATGCACTAATAACTAAAACCTGTTTTGTTATGTGTTTTCTTAGAGAGCTATAAGGCTCTCAGCACCAATGTTACTTAATTTAATTCAATATGACAACTATAACACGCTATGCTTTCACAGCTTAATACCAGTAAGGCAACGACTGGGAGATACTACAAGCAGTGTTAAAGCCTGACATGGAATGTCAGAATTTCCTTTGGCTGCCAGAAATAAGCATTTATAATAACAAGTTTTGTCACTAATTACAGGGAAAGGAAGAAATTTGTAGATGTTTAAGCCTATTTGAATATTTGCTGAATACCTAAGTGATTTCCATTACTCAGAAATATTTCTCATGGTGTTTTATATTCTTCACAAATTAAAATATTTAAATTTGATAACCATTTTTTTTTATACTGGAAAGAGTGAAAATATTTTTTTAAACTGTAATGTGTTAGTCAGAGCAGTGATGAAATAAACAGTACAATGATTATCATGAGCTAATTATCAGAAAATGCCTAAGAAATAACCATTTTAATGAAGGAGGTTATGAGCTCATGAAGTCCTACTTAGCCCTACCTTAGTATTGTTGAGAGTACCTAGTGTGGTCTGCATTATTTCCAATCAGGAATGTTGCTTACTAACCTTCTAAAATATTATTTTATTTTTCATGGGAAGGACTATTACCTATAATATCTTCACTGTTGTTGAAAGATAGTTTGTTTCATACCATTCTTTTCCCCAATCAGTCTAAAACAATACCAAGGAAAGGTACATAGCCACCTTAACAGAGAATATAAGACAAGATTTTGCACCATGTATATATAATCTTGCTTGACACAATGCTTTATACACTTAAGCTGCATTCAAAACAGTTTCAAAATATTGCTTTCCTTATTAGGTCATTGGGTTATAATGCAACAAATAATTTTCCTTTCAGACTCTGCTATCAAACATTTCTGGTAGATTTTGCCTTGTGTATAAATAATATTAGAAAACCAAAAGGAAAGAAACTGCCTAGTGCTTCTGCTTATAATGACAGAGCCTGATGCTACAGACAATATTTTCTAACGTTTGAGATATCCTGAATATAACATTAGAATCTTTGTACAAATTACCTGCTTAGTTTTATTCCTCTCGGAGGCAATTCCAGAGCAAAAACATAACAGATGTACTGTATTTTCTACCAATTCCCGAGGCTCAGTTAGCTGCTCAGTGTGTCTTGCCCCCAGGTAATTCAGGCCTGGGGGAAGGGTTCCTTCTTCCAGACTGATTGGTACAGCTGCTCACTAAGTGTAACTACTCAGATTCCCAAAGAATTCTAAGTGGATGTTCCTCCACGGTGTCTCTTGTTCTCTCTAATCATCATCATTTTAAAATTTCACCCACTGTTCATTCCTTCACAGAATTTTCCTTTGCCCACAGACCTCTGGAAAGGGAATAGATTCCCACAAGCAGCTGAAAAAACATTTATCTAAAAAATTCTGAAAAGCTAAAGCAATTAATTTTTCGGATATTTTTTCTGAATTTTGAATGAAATTCTACTATTCATTTTAAAAGGCCAAATGTGCATTAATTATTACAATGAAGAAAATGCATACCAATTAATACAGGGGGGTTGTTCATTTATTATGAGACATAATTTCAGTAACTTTTTTTTTTTATTCTTTTGTAGCTGATCTTCTAATGCAAGTGGAAGGAAAACCTAAATGTTGCTTCTTTAAATTTAGTTCTAAAATACAATACAATAAAGTAGTAAAGGCCCAACTGTGGATATATTTGAGACCCGTCAAGAGTCCTACAACAGTGTTTGTGCAAATCCTGAGACTCATCAAACCCATGAAAGACGGTACAAGGTATACTGGAATCCGATCTCTGAAACTTGACATGAACCCAGGCACTGGTATTTGGCAGAGCATTGATGTGAAGACAGTGTTGCAAAATTGGCTCAAACAGCCTGAATCCAACTTAGGCATTGAAATCAAAGCTTTAGATGAGAATGGTCATGATCTTGCTGTAACCTTCCCAGGACCAGGAGAAGATGGGCTGGTAAGTGATAACTGAACATAATTTTCTACGATCTTGTTATGTTTTATTCATAATATGAATGAATAATATTGGGAAAAAGTACCAATTTGCTATTCTCATAAGTCAGACAAAGGTATTTTACCCTAGTTGTAGCCCTGTACCCAATAAAAATAGGTGTCCAGTTTCATATCCTCTGAAACACTCTCTTTTACTCTGCATAAGGATTTAAAGAAAAAGTTATACCATAATCTTAAATTTTTTAAGGAGTTCTTTTGGGTGGGGAACAAAATATAAAGTGCACTTCATTGATAGTTTACATGATTATGTGGGTAAAAATGTGATATCTTCCAGAATTTATAACATACCCAGCAAATTAAAACTCTTTTTTTCCCCCCCTGCAATAAAGGTTGGAACTTTTTGGCTTCATACAGCAGGAAAAACAAACAAACAAAAAAAAACTTTAAAAGTTATTATAAAAATTAAGTACTTTATTTATAACAACTAAATATGTGTTTAGACTAATATTTTATCAAACATAATTACCCTCATAATTAATAGGTTCACTGTTTTGCAGGCAGTGGATACACTAAGTATATGTAAATTACTTTGTAAATTACCCCTAATAAAATTTTAATTTCCAGGCTACTTAACCTTTGTCACCCAGCTTATTGCTGAACTGCCTGACCATTCTTATCCAAGAGTTTACTTAAGGGATGCCAACTAGTTTAATACCCCAGGCCAAGCAGATAGCAATACCTTGTATATTATAAGGATTAACAAAAACTATTTTAAAAATCCACTGTAAATTTACTCTTCTAGTTTACCATTGACTGCTGTTTAAAAAAACATTTAATGTTACATTTTTTACTTTTACCTATTGACATAATTTACAGAAAAAGATTGTAATTGTAAATAACAACTGTTCTCTTTTTAGTATTTAAATGGCCTTGATTTTGAAAAGCATGATTAGTAAGTCAGATCTACTGTAAATAAAAACATATCTTTTAATGATTAAGTAATCATCCAAATTGCCTATTTTTTCTTTAAATATGCTAAGTAATTTACTATTGACTGCCAAAATGTTATTTTGCTATAATTTTAAATATTTTGATTTTTATGGAGGATTCTAATTGTTATTGATTATTTTAGAAACTGTTCTTTCTTATAAATAGCATTCAGTGATCAAAGTGAACTGATAAGAAATTATTGCTAAACAGAATGTTAATATTTATGTCAGTTTTTCCATAAAAAAAAGGAAGCAAAGTCTCAAGTGCATTGAAAGAGGATGACAAGGCAAGAACTAGGAAATCATCATTTAAATACCTGAATATAAACACTTTTGAGGAAAAGAATAAAGGAAATATCAAATCTTCTGTTTAATCAGTCCTTCCTTCTCTTAGAATTTCTTTCCAACCCAATATACATGTGGCCATTTTCATCACTTTACCTCCTTTTTCCTATTATAATTGTGCTAGGAGGTAACTATTTTGCTCTGGTTTTTAATAGCAAAGTTTCCATGAGTAAAGACTTCGGGAACAAAGGATGGATGATTATCCTTACTCCTCCAGGAGTCACCAGACATGTAACCAATAAGTGTGAAAGAGAGATAACATCTTCCTTTCTTTCCTTCTCACCCCGCCCTGCCCACTTTCCATTTCTCTTCCCTCTTTCCATTTCTTCTCATACATATTTTCAGAGCATCTATTATGTTTTTCTTCTCATACATATTTTCAAAGCAGCTATTATAAATAATGTAGGGGGATTGTATTATTTTTGAGCCATAAAGGAGAAATCAGGCTAGTGTACATTACAATTCCTATTTGCAGTTCCTTTTAAAATAGATGTGGTATGGACAAAGTGATTGAATAAACATTTTGAGGTAAGAAATGTTTTGGACTTTTTTAATATTAATCATTTTTTCCTTTTCATATAGAATCCCTTTTTAGAAGTCAAGGTAACAGACACACCCAAAAGATCCCGAAGAGATTTTGGACTTGACTGTGATGAACACTCAACAGAATCTCGATGCTGTCGTTATCCCCTAACTGTGGATTTTGAAGCTTTTGGCTGGGATTGGATTATTGCACCCAAACGATACAAGGCCAATTATTGTTCTGGAGAGTGTGAATTTGTATTTTTACAAAAATATCCTCATACTCACCTTGTACACCAAGCAAACCCCAGAGGCTCTGCAGGCCCTTGCTGTACTCCCACAAAAATGTCTCCAATTAATATGCTATATTTTAATGGCAAAGAACAAATAATATATGGGAAAATCCCAGCCATGGTAGTAGATCGCTGTGGGTGCTCATGAAATTTATATTTGGTTCATAACTTCCTAAAACATGGAAGCCTTCCCCTCAATAATTTTGAAGCTGTGAAATTATGTACCACAGGCTATAAGCCTAGAGTATGCTACAGTCACTTAAGTACAAGTTACAGTATATGAACTAAAAGAGAGAATATATGCAATGGTTGGCATTTAACCATCAAAATAAATCACACAGTAAGAAGTTTTATGATTTCCAGAGTTTCTGAACTAGGAGATCAGTTACATTTATGTTCATATATATTACAACATATACAAGCAAATGAAAACAACTCTCCTTGTGTTCTGATGCGTAAAGGAACATGTTTTAAAGTCTATTTCCTTACAGCTGCATTTAATACTTACAGAAAAATCTATATATAATATTGGTAAAATTCAGGATTGTTATATACCATCATTTGAATCATCCTAAACACTTGAATTTATATTGTATGCTAGCATACTTGGTAAGATGAAATTCCACAAAAACAGGGATGGTGCATTATACGCAAGTTTCCATTCCCATTTCGATTGGTACAGTACATTAACAATCTATGCCAATGGTGCTAATACAAAAGGCTGAATGGCTGATGTTTATCAGGTTTATTAAAGGTAAGTCATTCAGTAAAATAATTTTTTTCTTTAGGTGCATTTTTATACACCTCCAAATGGGGAACGGATATTCTTTAATAAAAGAAGAATCATTTTTCTGGAGGTCAGCAATCAATTATATACTTGAGAAACTGCATTTTATTAAAAGGCAGCCAAAACAATATTCATTTGTATCAAAATTTCAAAATAATAGCCTGACTTTGCAACATTGCAGTTTTCATGATAAAATAATGGAAATGACTGATTCTATCAATATTGTATAAAAAGACTTTGAATCAATTGCATTTATATAATATGTACACTATATTGTTTTGTAAATGTGTCTCCTTTTTTACTTACTTTGGTATATTTTTACATAAGGACATTTCAAATTAAGTATTAAGGCCCAAAGACACGTTATGTATAACAGAAAAGCAAATGTTCATATTTCAGGGCAAATTAGCAGATTGAATAGTGGCCTTAAAACTCCATATGCTAATGGTTAGATGGTTATATTACAATCATTTTATATTTTTTTACATTACTAACATTCACTTATGGATTCAAGGTGGCTGTGAATGTGAATGTGAAATATCAATGGTTTACTGTCATTGTATTCAAATCTCAACGTTCCATTCTTTTAATATGTATCAGTATTATTAAGCATAACAAAATGATTAAACTCTATTACCTGAAATGCAGAATAATGAACTGGTATCTTAACAAGAATTGTTAATTTTATTTTATAATTTTCGATACTGAATATATTTCTGCAAATATTTACTTTTATTTGTAAATTAGAATTTTGTTAATCAAATACATTGTACTTATGACTAAGTGAAATTATTTCTTACATCTAATGTGTACAAACAATATAAATTAAAGTATTCTCACTTTTTTGAAAGACAACAGTTTTGTGTTATAATGATTCTCAATTTCTCAATTGTCTTCATTATAAAACATTTAGCCCAAAATATGCCTTAGCACAACAGTTTGATTTAAGAATTTTAGGTTTTGCTATTGTAGTTCTTATGAGTGAATTTTTGTTAAATTGGTCCTGGTCAAGTTGCTTTGTACATATAAAAGGGAAGAGTAGTCATATTTGTTTCATTTCTCTTTTTCTTGTTCTGAAAACTACTTTTCTGTTTTCATAGGTTCAATTTCCAAACACATTACGGTTGGCAAGGAGATATGGTCCTAGAGTTACACGTTCTACTGAAGCCAAAGGGACGCAGGGAGATACCTCTTTCCTAGCACTTAATGCTACTGGCACATTTATCTGAGTTTTGGGAGCACCAGTTTTCAGTTGAAAATAATTATAAGATGCCTAAAAATCCTTAAGTGCAATGCTGTACATAAATATTTTTGAATTAAATTCTCTTCTCCAACCCTCAAAGATTTGGTAACGTGGCTATAAAGCAGTGACTGAGTCTAATGGAGGAGTCATTTGAATTCTATCTATTATAATGGTTCCTAAACAAGGTAAATATAATCAATATAAAGGTAATTTTAATCATCAGTGATATTATAGCAATTTCCACTCATGCAAAGTGTGATACTTTTCCTAATTTTAATATTGCATACTCAAAAATAATGAGGCTGGAATTACAGGAGAGTTGCTTTTGTGGGGGATAAACCCAACTGTGATGATGGAGTGAGGCCCTTTTCATTTGTACATACTAGAGCAATTTTTCCCAGAATCCAAAAGTCTGGGTCAGTAGGCCCATTCACATAGGCACTGTGGGACAAACACCTGGGTCCCCTGAACTTGCCGGCTGGGACAGCAAGGAAAGAATACGCTCAGTTTCCAGGGACTCAGTCACAGGACTGCCAAATCTTTCTATTCAACCTTATCGTGGGACTCCAGGATCATATCACCACTGTCACCTATTGTGAGAGGTGATGACCCTTGCCTGAAACTTTTATGACTATGAAGGAAGGTCAGCACCAAACTCTCATGACAAAACTTTGGCAGTACTTTTCTAATTTGCTAGGTCCTAGAAATGGCAAGGGTACTCAGCTGTCCTGCTTCTGAGTGCATGACTTTTGTTTTAGCATTCTGAATATTCGTTTGTGACGGATAATACAAACTCCTGAGATTTTTAGAAAGCGTCTAGTAAAGTTCACTGCAGTGTGTCATACCAGTTTCAATATTCTGAATGTTTTGTGATGCTTCCCATAATTCCCACAAACCTATGTAGTTAAAATAGATAACAAAACCAAAAATCTTTTACAAGACTCCCTACTGGTACAAGGGGTTAAGTCTCAGGACTATGAAGCTATCAGCAACCACTGCAGCACGAGTTTGATCCCTCAGGGGAGGTGACCCACAAGGCTCAGCAGACCTCTCCTGTCTTGCCCACTGTTCCCCTCAGCAGTGTGTTTCAACAAGTGTGTGTATGCATAAATAAAATAAATCTTTTTCTTTTTCTTTTTTTTTTTTAAAAAAAAAAAACCTCTTACAAGCTTTATATTCTTTTTGTATTCAATTTGGTTTTTTACTTCCGTATATAACTTAATTTTTGTTAAAATAAGGAAGTAATTTGACACTAATGTAACGAAATTAGACTCAAATATTCTACCCCATAAACAATGGTACTTTACAATGCACAAATTTTAGGAAGTAAATGATCCTTCTGAAATCTGGACACTCTCACCAGCTAAAAAAAAAAACCCTCACAATTTTCATATAATTTCAGAGGACTTAGGGTCTTCCTAGAACTCATCCTTAACTGCTAGCTTACAAACCTTTTGGAGGAATACTGAATTTTCTATTAGGATAAAAATTTGCAGCAGTTTGTATGGCTCATTTTAGGTAAAGTAAATAGACCTGGTATGAATTAGAAGATGTATGAAGAGCAGGTGACTAAAAGCAGAGAAGTATATACAGTGAGATAGAAATAGATGAGCATTACAGGATGAGGGAGCTGGAAAAGATCTTATGGACCCTCTAAAGTACATATGACACAATGATGGCCTAAAGCTACAGGTGCTCAATATCATACAGTAAATCTTCAAGAATGAAGACAAATTCTTGAAAAGGTAGAGTAAGTGGATGGTGGGTCACAACTGAGCCAGATGATTCCAAAAGCCTAATGCAAGAGTTAATAAAATAACAATTCTTGGGCCCTCCCTGATGGCACAACGGGTTAGGACACAGCACTGCAAGCTAGCCACAGCTGCTTCAGTGCGGGTTCCATCCCTGGCCCCGGAGGTGACCCACATGGCACAGCAGACATCTCCTGTCTCGCCTGCTGCTCACCTCAGCAGTTTACTTCGTAGATCTGCCTGTGTTGTTCCTCATTCTATCTCTGGTGAAACCTCTCACCACCCCTGCACCTCTGGCTTGTACTCCAGTTCTCTATAAATAAATAAATACTTAACAAATACGTAAAAAAAAAAAAACCTCTCAATTATGGTTTGTTAGCTGGGAAAAGTCAATACTGGACATTAAATAAATAGCCACAGGATTATAATACTATACATATACTTAAGGAAATCTTTTTTCACCTTGGAGATTTCTAAGACAAAGACTCTAATGGGAAGTCAATGGTACTATGTAATTTAAATGATCACTTTTGTATACAATGATAAAAAGAAATAATATTCAAACTGCTTCTGCATTAATGACCTAATTTTATTTTCATTATGATGGAAGTTAAATATTATTACCATTTCCATTTCATAGAAGAATTGAGGTTAGCAGAATTTAACACAATTACCAAAGATGTAGCATTTTACATTTGCTTTGAGAGTTCTATAAAAACTAGAAATCTAGGCCCTCCCTGGTGGCGCAGCGGGTTAAAGCACTGCACTGAGAATCTAAAGCCGCTTCCGCATGAGTTCGATTCCCGCCTGCCCCGGAGGTGACCACATGGCGTGGCAGACCTCTCCTGACCCGCCCAACGCTCCCCTCAGCAGTGTACTTCGTCGATCTGCCTGTTCTGCTCCCCACTCTGTCCTTGGTGAATCCTCTCACCCTCTGCATCTCTGGCCTGTACCCCAGTTCTGTATGAATAAATAAATCTTTAAAAAAAAAAAAACTAGAAATCTAAATATAAGTTATTTGTGTGATCATTTCAACAGTACTTATCAAAAATATAGGATGATATATTCTATTCAAGTTATCAAAAGATCACTTTTTAAAATAAGACACACAAATACCACACAATAGTATATAACTAAGATTAAATCATAGGTTAAACCATAATATGCAAGTCATGACTTCCTTGGCATATGATGTATAGTGTTGAAATTTCATTTTCATGGTCATTCAGTTCCAGTTTACAAACTGAAAAATATATCAAAGTAAACTATACTCATTTTGGTCATCTTAAAAAAGATGTCAAACAGTGCAAATGCTACTAAATTTAGTTCATCTATGCCTAGATGGAATATTGCAATCTCTTTGCAAAATGAATATATTTTCATTAAATAACATGCACAGCTTGTAGCAAGATGATCTTTTTTTGCCACTTATAACATTAGATAAAATGGAATATTTACATGTACTTTACTACTTACATATTTTGGTTTATATAACAAAATACCTTAATGATTCTAATATCTTATCAAGGATTCACAATTTCATAAATGCAAAATTTTATATATGAGATTTCTCATTTTATCAGATAAGCATAAACTATGTGTATTCATGACAGAAAATTCCTTAATAATAAGGTTGAATAGTGTGCTTCAGCTGTGGTTTAATATTACATTAAATGTCTCTGGTAGAGGAATATAAAACCTGGAATGAAACAAAGACATATATTTTTTTAGTATTTGTTGGTTCCTTTTTGGACTACTGTAAACTACAAAAGTTTTAACTGTGAATGCTATTACTTCTGCCCTATAATAAAGAAGTTTTTCACAAGTTAACTATAACAATGTTTTCTTCTATTAATTCTACATAGGCACTGTAAGTAAAACACAATTCACTGGAATCCACCTAAAGAGATGTATAACAGGCCCAGACTCTAATCTTAAAGTCTGTTGGAAAGTTCTCTTGAGAAGGGTGAACAGATAAATTTAATTTCAGTTAACCTTAAAGGTAATTTTAGACCAATACTATAAAGATATTAACTACTAATTCACTAATTTGCTTTCCTAACCATCCAAGATTATTTCATGATGAAAACTTCTCTCCAATAAGTGTTATATTCTTTTTCCCCCTAACATCTTATGAAGGACCTTATTCACAACAAAATTTGATTATGCGCT